GACTGTTTCATGAAAGTTGTATGTTATCTGACGAATGTTGCATGAAAGTTGTATGTAATCTGACGAATGTTTCATGAAAGTTGTATGTAATCTGACGACTGTTTCATGAAAGTTGTATGTAATCTAGCGAATGTTGCATGAAAGTTGTATGTAATCTGACAAATGTTTCATGAAAGTTGTATGTAATCTGACGAATGTTTCATGAAAGTTTTATGTAATTTGACGAATGTTTCCTGAAAGTTGTATGTAATCTGACGAATATTTCATGAAAGTTGTATGTAATCTGACGAATGTTTCATGAAAGTTGTATCTAATCTGACGAATGTTTCATGAAGGTTGTATCTAATCTGACGAATGTTTCATGAAAGTTGTATGTAATCTAACGAATGTTTCATGAAAGCTGTATGTAATCTGACGAATGTTTCATGAAAGTTGTATGTAATCTGACGAATGTTTCATGAAAGTTTTATGTAATTTGACGAATGTTTCCTGAAAGTTGTATGTAATCTGACGAATATGATATGATGAAGAAGTGACTAATTTTATAGATGAAGTGAATATGCCATTTAAGGTAGGATGAAGAAGTAACTATGGGATCTATAGATATGATAAACGAAACGACTTTGGAATCTGTATATATAATACGAAGAAGTAACTATGGGATCTATAGATATGATAAACGAAGCGACTTTGGAATCTGTATATACAATACGAAGAAGTAACTATGGGATCTATAGATATGATAAACGAAGCGACTTTGGAATCTGTATATACAATACGAAGAAGTAACTATGGGATCTATAGATATGATAAACGAAGTGTCTGTTTATAGATATGATTAAGAAGTGTCTGTTTATAGATATGATTAAGAAGTGTCTGTGGGGTTTACAGATACTATTTACTGGGGAAACATACGGGTTGATGGTGGTATATGTATAGACGAATATAGTCGATACCAAAGATTTTAGCTAACTCATGACGATTTTGCTCTGTACCATATCTGTATCATATGTGTACCATATCTGTATCATATCTGTACCATATCTGTATCATATCTGTACCATATCTGTATCATATCTGTACCATATCTGTATCATATCTGTACCATATCTGTATCATATCTGTATCATATCTGTACCATATCTGTACCATATCTGTATCATATCTGTATCATATCTGTACCATATCTGTACCATATCTGTATCATATCTGTACCATATCTGTATCATATCTGTACCATATCTGTACCATATCTCATCCAGACTTGTAAACTAGATATCGGCCCTCAAATGGAAGTAGTTTGGGACAACGGGGATCATCCAGACTTGTAAACTAGGTACCGGTCCTCAAATGGAAGTAGTTTGGGACAACGGGAGTCATCCAGACTTTTAAACTAGGTACCACCCCACTAGTCGTGAATCTGATTATAGATAGCTTCTTGAAAAATATACGTCTCTTATTGGTAACTTTGTCAGACATTTCTGTACCGCCGAAAACGTGGGCAATATTTCATTTTCGTGAATCCAGTTTTGAATGATGAAAAACAAGAAATCGAAGCTTCTTGCATGATGGAAAATTCTTTTTTAATACAAGTTGAAGAGGAGAAACTCTGGTGCAGGAGGATTCCAAACAGGAGACAAAGTAAACAACCAAGTATACGTTTCGTTATAAGCCCATCATCGCTTTAGAGAATGTAGAAAAACGTTTGGTGTTTTTGTGTAATTTCATTATTTTCAACATTTCCTCGAGAAAACGTGTTTTTTGTTCGTTGTTGTTGTATGTTTGTCTAAATGATTCAGTTCGTCGAGCCTTTACGTAGATTTTTACATTATTTACTAAATGTTTAAGTTATAGATTTTCTAGTCGGTTTCTTGACATTTTCTGCTCAATTATTCAGGACAACTTATAAACTAATCATGATCTGATTTAAAGTTTTGATCATTTTACTTTTAGGCAGCCTTGAAGATTTGGCAAATTTTTTAGCGATATTTTTGAGGTAGGATTCAGTTGCCTTGTGGCCCCAAAATGAAAGGTGGCCAAGTATTGGGTGTTGTGGGTGGTGGCCTAGACTGTCATTCTGAGTATTTGTATGATGTTTAATTAATTTCACATTATGTTGTATTTGTCAATGTATACCTTTATATAGAAAAATAAAAATATAAATTAACAGCGTTGGTTACTGTGAATAATAAAAAAAAACGCAATAGAGGTTGAACTTTTGAATTGAGTACATTTTATGAGTTTTCTTATAAAATCTGACGATACTGACGAGATTCGTGTAATGGTAGTAAACTGCAGAACAAACTATAAGGTAATAAACGTGTGTGGATCATGTTTAAAGTGTGTTGTACTAAAGTGTGTTGTTACTACCGTTGTCCCAAGCTACTTCCATTTGAGAG